GGATCTGGCCTTCTAAAGAGCAGTCAGGGTTGATCTCTTCTAGGACTGACCGGTTTGAACGCCTTGCAGTCCAAGGGACTCGCAGGAGTCTTCTCCAGCACCATAGTTCAAAGGCCTCAATTCTTTTGCACTCAGCCTTTCTTATGGTCCAACTTTCACAGCCATACATTGCAACTGGGAAAACCATGGCCTGGACTATACGCACTTTTGTTGGCAGGGTGATGTCTCTGCTTTTTAGTATGCTGTCTAGATTTGCCATAGCTTTCCTCCCCAGGAGCAAGCGTCTTTTAATTTCTTGGCTGCAGTCCCCATCTGAGGTGATCTTTGAGCCCAGAAAAATAAAATCTGTCACTACCTCCATTTCTTCCCCATCTATTTGCCAGGAATTGAGAGGGCCGGATGCCATGATTTTGGTTTTCTTAATGTTGAGTTTCAAGCCAACTTTTGCACTCTCCTTCTTCACCCGCATCAAGAGGCTCTTTAGTTCCTCTTCACTTTCTGCCATTAGAGTGGTATCATCTGCATATCTTAGGTTGTTGATATTTCTCCCGGCAATCTTAATTCCAACTTTTGATTCATCTAGCCCTGCCTTTCTCATGATGTGCTCTGCATATAAGTTAAATAGGCAGGGTGACAGTATACAGCCTTGCCGGACTCCTTTTCCAATTTTGAACCAATCAGTGGTTCCGTGTTCGGTTCTCACTGTTGCTTCTTGACCCGCATATAGGTTTCTCAGGAGACAAATGAGATGGTCTGGTACTCCCATCTCTTTAAGAACTTGCCACAATTTGTTGTGATCCACACAATCAAAGGCTTTTGCATAGTCAATGAAGCAGAAGTAGATGTTTTTCTGGAACTCCCTAGCTTTCTCCATGATCCAGCGTATGTTGGCAATTTGATCTCTAGTTCCTCTGCCTCTTCGAAATCCTGCCTGTACTTCTGGTAGTTCTCGATCCACATACTGCTGGAGTCTAGCTTGTAGGATTTTAAGCATAACTTTACTAGCATGTGAAATGAGTGCAATGGTGCGATAGTTTGAACATTCTTTGGCATTGCCTTTCTTTGGAATTGGAATGTAAACTGACCTTTTCCAATCCTGTGGCCACTGTTGAGTTTTCCAAATTTGCTGGCAAATTGAGTGTAGTACTTTTACTGCATCGTCTTTTAAGATTTTGAATAGCTCAGCTGGAATACTGTCACCTCCACTAGCTTTGTTGTTGCTCAGATTTTCTAAGGCCCATTTCACTTCACATTCTAGGATGTCTGGTTCGAGGTCAGTGACCATCTCATTGTGGTTATCTGGGATGTTAAGCTCATTCTTGTATAGTTCTTCTGTGTAGTTTTGCCATCTCTTCTTAATCTCTTCTGCCTCTGTTAGGTCTCTGCCATTTTGGTCCTTTATCATGCCCATCTTTGCATGAAACGTTCCCTTCATATCTCCAATTTTCTTGAAGAGATCTCTGGTCCTCCCTATTCTGTTGTTTTCTTCTATTTCTTTGCACTGTTCATTTAAGAAGGTATTCTTATCTCTTCTAGCTATTCTCTGGAATTCTGTATTCAATTGGGTGTATCTTTCTCTTTCTCCTTTGCCTTTCGCTTCCCTTCTTTCCTCAGCTATTTGCAAAGCTTCCTCAGACAGCCATTTTGCTTTCTTGCATTTCTTTTTCTTTGGGATGGTTTTAGTTGCTACCTCTTGTACAATGTTGCGAACTTCCATCCATAGTTCTTCAGGCACTCTGTCTATCAGATCCAGTTCCTTAAATCTATTTGTCACCTCTACTGTATATTCATCAGGAATATGATTTAGTTCATACCTGAGTGGCCTAGTGCTTTTCCCTACTTTTTTCAATTTAAGCCTAAATTTTGCAACGAGAAGCTCATGATCTGAGCCACAGTCAGCTCCTGGTCTTGTTTTTACTGACTGTATACAGCTTCTCCATCTTTGGCTGCAGAGCACATAGTCAATCTGATTTCTATGTTGACCGTCTGGTGATGTCCATGTGTAGAGCCGTCTCTTGGGTTGTTGGAAAAGAGTGTTTGTTATGACCATCGTATTCTCTTGACAAAATTCTATTAGCCTGTGCCCTGCTTCATTTTGTACTCCAAGGCCAAACTTGCCTGCTATTCCTGTTATCTTTTGGCTTCCTACTTTAGCATTCCAATCCCCCATGATGATAAGGACATCATTTTTTGGTCTTAATTCTATAAGGTCCTGTAGGGCTTCATAGAACCGGTCAATTTCATCCTCTTCAGCAGCAGTGGTTGGGGCATAGATTTGGACTACTGTGATATTGAATGGTTTGCCTTGGATTCGAATTGAGATCATTCTGTCATTTTGGGGATTGTATCCCAGTATTGCTTTTCCTATTCTTTTATTGACTATGAAGGCTACTCCATTTCTTCTGAGGGATTCTTGCCCACAGTAGTATACCTGATGGTCATCTGAGTTAAATTCACCCATTCCTGTCCATTTTAGTTCGCTGATTCCTAAGATGTCGATGTTCAGTCTTGTCATCTCTTTTTTGACTACGTCTAGCTTGCCTTGATTCATGGATCTTACATTCCAGGTTCCTATGGAGAAAAAATCTTTACAGCATCGGACTTTCCTTTCACCACCAGATATATCCACAGCTGAGCGTCCTTTCGGCTTTGGCCCAGTCGTTTCATTCTTTCTGGCGCTACTAGTACTAGCCCTCTGCTCTTCCCCAGTAGCATATTGGACACCTTCCGACCTGAGGGGCTCATCTTCCAGCGTCATATCTTTTTGCCTTTTAGTACTGTCCATGGGGTTTTCATGGCAAAGATACTGGAGTGGTTTGCCATTTCCTTCTCCAGTGGATCACATTTTGTCAGAACTCTCTGCTATAACCTGTCCGTCTTGGGTGGCCCTGCACTGCATAGCTTATAGCTTCATTGAGTTACGCAAGCCCCTTCGCCACGACAAGGCAGTAATCCATCAAGGGGTATGAATGAATATCAAATATTATAGAGAATTGTTTTATAGGTTATGGAGTTAAAGGTTAATTATGATATTTTTTTTCTCCTTTTTCTCTTTTTTTCTTTTTTTTTAAATTATTATAATTTTCTTTTCTTTTTAACCCTGTATTCTGCTCTGGGAAGTGGAGGGAGGGGGGTTGGGGGTGGGAGGGAGGGTAAGGGGGGGTTTCTATTTTAAAATTTTATTGTATTTTTATAAATGATTGTATGTTTTAAAAAAAATAAAAAAATTTCGATGAAAAAAAAAAAGAAGGGGAAGAGGCTTCTAGCCAGAGGGAAAAATGTTACCCAGTCACATCTGGAAGGCCGCAGGACCCCCAACACTTCTGTACGTTAAAGAGGGGCTTGGTGGGGGCACAAGGGAGTCAAGGAGGGGCTGAAGAAAGAGCTCACATTTGGGGAAAGGAGATGGAAAGGGGGGGTCTTTGGAGGGTGACCCCAGCAGGCAGCAACATGGCTGCATTGGCATTCAGCTCCTATTTCCCCCAGGGTGGCCCACTTTGGTGTGAAGGAAGACAGACAGCCCTGATCCTGAGTGGGGAGGGAAGTCCCAAGTCTGAAATCTCCCAGTGGGGCTTTTTGCCTAAAGCCAAGTTCTCCCCCAGGAAAGATTTCCATTTTGGGCCTCCCGGGTCAGAGAGAGAAGCAGAGAACTGCAGCTGGTTCCATCTGTCTCTGCCCAAAGTCTCCCTGGAGGATTCGGCCAAAGAGCAGAGCGGAAACTTTGAGAATAATAATAATAATAATAATAATAATAATAATAATAATAATAATAATAATAATAATTCTCCTCTCACCAGAGATTCAACTAGTTCTGGGACTCAGAGTTTGTTGGGCCCTTCTCTGGAGAGGAATGGAAGGGGGATAATCCCCAGAGGATTCAAAATGACAGGGCAGAGCTAGAATTAAATCTTTCAGCAAGAATTGAGAGGTTGGGAAGCTCCAGGCTTGAAACTGGCCCCAGAGGGAATACACGGCACCTGTGGCTGAAGAAAAAGAAATCGGATATTTGTGGGCACAGCCGTTAAAGAGAAAACCCCAGGGACGACTTCATGCCTGAACATGTCACGGAACTGGAATAGCTTCCTACTGAGTTAAAAACAAAGTTTACTTTATTTTGAAAGTTAATGCTGAATATAAAAAGACTGATGCAATAGTGAGACTAGGATAAAATAAAATAAATAAATCTGCTAGTTAAAAACTAGTCATCAAAACTTGATATAGTTTAAAAAAAATCACACCCATGTACAGACAGTGAGAGAGAGAGAAATGAGAGGAATAAAGGATGCCTTTCACCCCAAGTAAGGAAGAGAGGGAGGGGAAGGACCCATGTTCCACTGCCACTCCCTTCCACACAGGGGGCCCTGAGGGGGGAAAGCAAAGCCCAGACGTGTCACGTTGCCCATAGAAAAGGCTCAGGAAGGAGGAGGGGAACTGGGGGAACCCTTCACTCCCCCCATTCTGGGAAGAGACTAGGGTGGATGATGGGCTTTGGAGTTGCATTTCAGGGGGAGAGGCAGCCAAGGGGGGTTTGTGAGGCTCCGGTTCCCCTTCGTGTCTTTCCAGGAAAGGCTCCTGGGGGGAAGAAGCCATGCAGGGCCTGGTCTCCCAAGGGGGATCCGGCTTTGCTGGGGAGGGAAAGGCCGGGGGGGTCTCCCTGGAGGGGCCCTCTGGGGCTCTGAGGAAGGGGCATCCTGGGGGTCCCTCCTGGCCCCCAAAGTCCCTCCGGCCGGGCTCTCCTGGGCAGCCCCTGCCCCCCCCTTGCCCAAGCCCCCCCCGGAGGAGAAGCCCTCCATTGCAGGGATTTCTGGGTGGGGGGAAAGGCCCTTCCAGGACTCCGGCCTCCCCTCCCTCTGCATCTCTGGCAGTTTCTGCCTCTTTCTCATCACAGGAAAAACTCTCTAATTCTCTCTCCTTATTGGACGTTTTCCTCTCCCCCCCCCCTTTGTCTTTGCTCCTTCAGCCTCTTCTCCAGGAGTCTGATTGGTGGCTGAGCTCCCAGGCAACCCTTGTCTCCTCCCTCCTGCCTGATTGGCTGCTGCTGGGTTGCTACGATGACAGGGGCAGGCCAGGACTAGAGGCAGCCACTAGGGAGAGAGAGGGGCGGGGCTTTTGTTTTGGCTCAGAACTGGAGGAGTTGAAGGCGAAATCTTCTCTTTGAGGAAACTCTGATCAGATGCAGCCCAGAGTGGGAGAAAATGAAAGAGTATTTAAATATATATCTATATCTATATATCTCTATCTCTCTATATCTATCTATATATCTATATTTCTCTACCTCTATCTATATATATCTGTATCTATATCATCTCTATCTATCTCTATATATCTATATATTTCTATATCTCTATCTCTTATATCTCTATCTATATCTATCTATATCTATATCTCTATATTTAAAATGAAGGAAAAATTCAAGACTTTAACAGAAGAAAAATATGAAATGGAAACTAAAAGCAGATAAAAAGGAGGAAGATGCAGTGAAATTGGATAGAATAGAAGAGAGCTGGGAGGGACCTTGGAGGTCATCTAGTCCAGCCCCCTGGCTCAGGCAGGAGACCCTATACTCTTTCAGACAAATGGCTGTCCAGTCTCTTCTTAAAAACTTCCATGTTGGAGCATTCACAGCTTCTGGAGGCAGGTGGTTCCACTGATTAATTGTTCTAACTGTCAGGAAATTTCTCCTGAGTTCCAGGTTGCTTCTCTCCTTGGTTCGTTTCCATCCGTTGCTTCTTGTCCTTCCAGGTTCTTTGGAGAACAGCTTGACTCCCTCTTCTTTGGGGCAGCCCCTGAGACAAACCCCTGACAGTAAAGGAAATAGAGTGGATGAAGAGCTTATAGAAATTAGAGAGCTGAAATAGAAAACACTTTGTATTAAGATTAATTTTGGTATTAGTTGAAAGCACTTATATTTTACCATTCATTTTTGAACCAATGTGGAAGCTTTCCTTGTGTGAAAGGAAAATGTCTTCCCAGCCACTGTGGAGAGAATAACAGAATAACAGAGTTGAAAGGGACCCTGGAGGTCATCTAGTCCAACCCCCTGCTCAGGCAGGAGACCTTATGCCCTTTCAGACAAATGGCTGTCCAGTCCCTTCATGCTATGGAAGGATTGGGGCTCTTGGGGCCTTGCAGATGTAGTTCAGTAACGACTCTCCCTCTGGCTGGAAGCTGGAGCCATGGGGGGTCCCACAGAATAGCAAGAGGGGCACCACTAGGCACCCCAGCCATGGTGGTTAGCAATTATGATTCTACTACACAATTTGTGGTAGCTCTGTGGGTGTCACTCTAACACTTGTTGTTCTGAGCCAAACATTATTTGAGACCTTTTCTTATGAATGGGATTCCTTTCCTATAGAAATTGTCCCTCTTCTGAATTCATTTTTCAGGAATGTCATTCAATGTATTTTAATTTAATGTGTCTCAAGGAATGTAAATGTTGATACTCCATAGCTTGGGCTGATATGTGCAAAACAGAGAAAAAATGAATTATTGTTAGTACTCATGATATGAAAGGCCATTCAACAGATTATGATGGATGCCCTAAAATTATATACAAAACTCTTTCAAAGTTATGACGTCTGCAATGCCCTTGCGGTCATTTGCCCTTCAGACTGACCAGGGGGATGCTGCAGTGCCCTCCATCTCTCCCCCTCCAATCTCTCCCCCAACAGGACCCTGCAGTGCTTGGACCTGATGCCCATGACTGCCGGAAGTGGCCACCATTTTGAATACTCCGACGAGTCCTTGTAGAAATGGCGGCTGCTTTTGAAGCTTTCCACCCTGATCCTCAGGCTGTTGGGAGACTGCAAAGCTCTCCTGGCTCTTGCTAGGTTTGGGAAACCGGACACGGCATGCTCCCTCCCCTCTGGGCACAACTAGGTTTTGGGGCGACATGGCAGGTAACATCATGGACAAGAGAAGCCATGTTACACATCCACTAGGCATTCAGAAAGAACAGCCGGTACCTGGAGCCACCAAAGATCTGGTAGGCAGGCACTGAGACTGGAAGCTGAGGACAATACAGTGGAACAACATTCAAATGATGAACTTGGGATATTGGTCACCCTGTGCTCCTCATTGTAAGGGTGGACCTGCCCATCCCATCAGCTCCCCCTGTCACTCAACCCCCCAGTTCTCCCTTCTAGGCCAAGCTGTATATATTAACATCCCCCCTCCAGGTAAGAAAAATAATCAACAATCGAACAAGTTAAAGCAGAACACAGGGACTCCGAACTATAAGCACATGGAAGTCTTCTAGGGAGGACAAACAAAGCCTCAGAGATGGGAATGTCACATGTTCTGCAAAACACCAAGTGCATCTACGCAACCAGAGGAACTGCCACCAGGTCCCCTTAAACCATCTTCCTAGTGGATGCGGCAAGAAATCAGATCACATGGTCCAATGCACCGTGGGTGCTGCCACCATCTCAACTGCAGACCTAACAGTTTTATTTAAACCAAGAACTATCAAAATTTAATGGCTCTCATTGTATCAGTATGGAAAGACAATACAGAAAGTGTCAAGGAAACTAAAACTTCTACCCACTCTACAATTTTCTCTCTGTGTGCCCGTGGTGCTATCCCAGGCTGTCACTTTCCTGCCTCTTAGCCAGCTGTCATGCATAAAATGATGTTTCTAGAAGAGATGGCAAATGAAGAAATTTAAAATAAAATTGTTGTGGGAGAAAAACTAGAAGAGAAGTAGGCAAACAGCAAGCAATCAAATCGGTTTGAAGAGCTCCAAATTTCTTGTAGACTTTGAATTTAGCAAAGCTAAACCTTGACCTGAAGATCCCCAAACTTTTCCTTTTATCTCTTTTAGGAAATAATTCATGTTGTGGATGTTATTTTTTCCCCTTTTTTGGCCAGCCCATGCCTTCTTCCAGGTGGGTGGAAAGCTGCCCTGCTGGGTTCATGAAGGTGCCTCAGGAAGGGAAGCTCATCTGCTGCTACAATTGTTGTCCATGTGCAGAAGGATCCATCTCCACCACGGAAGGTGGGTGACAGCAGGAGAAAGGGGCAGACTTTGGGGAGGACCATAGATCTCCATGACCATGCATTTCGAAAGGCTTGGCCAGAGTGGGTCCCACCTCTTTGAGTCTTGATCACGGCAAATATTTATGTCATAGTGAACTATTAGAAACGCTATTGGGGATTAATCTGGTATATAGGTCAAGCAAGCAGGCATAGAGATCATGGATAAAGATACAAGATAAATGAGGGTTGGGTAAGGTGAGGGAGATGACATCTCTTGCTCTTTACCTTTTATAATACAACTTCCAAGTTTCAAATTACTATTTACTTCATTGCTCTGAATATGAGACTTTCTGGATTTCAGAATATAATGATGGGACTTTGATTGGATTTTTGTAGGAGGATTGATCAGATTCTTTGCAAGTGTCTATGTCTGAAGGTATTTTGGGCAGCCACAGTTTCAGGTTGTAGCCACCTGCATTTAATCAAAGGATGTATTTCTTTACTAAAGAAGTTTAATAGAATGTCTTGGCTGTTCTCTTCATTCTAACTGATGTGGTGGATGGACTGGGCAGTCTTATGTAATAATCCTTTGACTGCTCCATCTGTTTAGGTGATGCCTTTTTTGGTCAGGCTCAGGTGACTGCTGGGTTTATACTTCCTGAGGCTGACATTGCAGAGACTCTGCTGGAGGCTCCTCTTAAAATAATTTTCAGAATCATGGCCCATGGAGAGGAGAGGAGAGGAGAGGAATCATGTCTTGGGATTGAGCCAAACTTCCTTCTTGATTTTATTGGAAGATGTTCCTTTTTCTGATAATAAAAAAAAAATGAGGAATGTATTTTGATTCCTCATTCCATATATCCAACTCATTTTCAAGGGCCACTCCATTTAACATTTCTTTCTCTGTGGCAAAAGTAATGTTTTATTCATTTCAGCCAGCATAAGTTACATTAAGCAGTGAAAAGGTAACTGCCTTGTTTCCTGGAATCCTTTCTTCTTCCCTTCTTCTCTCAGCAAGTTCATTGATGAAATGGTGACACCAAAAAGAAGAGAAAATAAATATTAAGGGGTTCTAGCTGGAGGGAGATGAAGAATTATACTGAGTTCGCCTACGCCCAGTCATTCACACAAAAAACAAGTTTACCCAAACAATGCATTTTATTAAAGAACATGTTAAAGGGAGAAACTATTCTTGCTCTTTTTCAGATGCAGACAAATGTACCAAATGTCCAGAAGATCAACATCCAAACATCAATCGACTTCACTGTATCCCTAAGATTAAAAATTATCTTTCTTATAATGAAAATCTGGGGATTATCCTGATTTTCATTGCCTTGTTCTTCTCTTTAACCACAGGCTTTGTCTTGTGGATCTTCATTAAATTCATGGAAACACCAATTGTCAAAGCCAACAACTGGGACCTCTCCTACATTCTCCTGGTCTCCCTCCTGCTTTCCCTCTTGACCTCCTTTCTGTTCATTGGCCGGCCAAGGAGAGTGACCTGCCTCCTCCGACAAACGGCCTTCAGCATTGTCTTCTCAGTTGCCATTTCTTCAATCTTGGCCAAAACAATCACAGTGGTCTTAGCCTTCGTGGCCACAAAACCAGGGAATAAAGTGCAGAGATGGTTGGGGAAGAGCTTGGCCAACTCCATTGTCCTTTCTTGTTCTGGTCTCCAAGTTGTCATCTGCAGCATCTGGCTGGGCACTTTCCCCCCATTCCCTGACTCTGACATGCACTCCCAGCCTACAAAGATTATTCTACAATGCAATGAAGGCTCTGTCACCATGTTTTATGTTGCCCTCGGATACATGGGCTTCCTGTCTGCTGTCTGCTTCACGGTGGCTTTTCTGGCCAGGAATCTCCCTGGGGCCTTCAATGAAGCCAAACTGATCTCCTTCAGTATGCTGGTCTTCTGCAGTGTCTGGGGGTCCTTTGTGCCAGCCTACCTGAGCACCAAGGGGAAGTACACTGTGGCTGTGCAGGTCTTCTCCATCTTGGCCTCCAGTGCTGGCCTGCTGGGCTGCATTTTCATCCCCAAGTGCTATATTATTATTTTTAGGCCAGATCTGAACATCAAAGAACATTTGATGTCAAAATAATATAGAAAAAAATGAATTTTACAAATTTATTTTTCAAAAATGACATTTAATAATTTTAATTAACACATTTTGACCATTTAATATTTGTATATTTAACTTATATGCTTCCCCTATTGCCTAAAGATGATTTTAGGCAGTTTACAATCAGTAAAAACAAGACAAAACAATAAAACATTCAAAGAATAAATAGTACCTCTAACATTAGTTTAAAATTGACAAAGATAGGAAGGAAGGGAGCAAGATGCCCATGGGGAGGAGGTATTCCTCTTACTTCTAAAGCTACCCACATTTATTTTCCTATGTATTCCTAAAGAAACCAGTAGCAATACACCCAGTCTCCTTTTTAGTCACAATACTGTTGGTAAAATCAGCTTCCAGATGGACGGGACAGTTTAGTAGGCAAATGGAGACACAACAAGGAATGCGGCCTTGCAACTCATAGCAACCTGTGGGAAGTTTTATCAGAATATTCCTGTAGCAATCCCTGAATATTTCTTCTAACTAAGAATATTTTTCTTTGCACATCTATCAGAAGGGCAAGAAGTAACCTGAGATTGATTTTGCTATCATTTATGAATAGGTATATATATGGATCATTTTCTCCCTTTTTGCATCATTTTCCCCTCCTTTCTGAAATGTATAAATATTTTTACAATTATTTAATAAACCAATAAGCCCAACTCATACATAGATCACACTGGTGGCTTACAGCTTTAAACATAGCACACAAACTCATAAAAACACCATCACATTATGAGTGGGATGTGAGCGTATGACGTGAATATATCTCTTTGTTTGAACGAATTTTATATTATTATTTCAGAGAAGACTCCATTCCCAGTACACACTGTTTAATAAACGTTGCAGTGAGGTCTGATTCTTTGCTTTGGGCTCTTTGTTTTGATTCCAGAGAAACTGGTGTGAGAAGTGGGATTCACAATTTTTGATCTGGGACCAGGGATGACAACAAGACATATGCATATGTTGTAGTGAGCCTGATCCCGTGTCCTTTCCCGCTGACAAAAAAGGGCATAATTAGGAATCAGTTTAAGGGAACAGTTTGTGTCTAAAAGTTTATTTTGCTAGCACCATCACATGAGCTCCAAAGTCCATTTGGCCTATGTCTTGGCAGTTCTTTGCCAGACCCATTCTGGCCATTTTCCCCTGAGTCTTCACAGCTCTTCCGGAAGCTACTGGACAGGCTGCAGGGGTTCAGGACCCCTTGAGGAAATTCTTCTAATCTAAAGGAGAGCTGGCGTAATGTGAAGAAAGAACTAGCCAAGGCAACAGAGAGTCAGAAGAACAAATGGATAAGAAGTGAGCTCCCCAGGGAACATTCCATGGTGGAGATAAAATGTGTCTAACCACCAAGTACCTAAAGTTGATGATTCCCTGTAAAAACAAGGCCCTAAGTACATAGGGTCTTCCCCATCATGAAAATTATTCACCAAGGGACTGGAGAATTGAAACTGCCCAGAATAATGGGTAAAGTGCACCCGGTATTTCACTTCAGCCTGATGAGGCCGGCTCAGGGATCGAAACTCAGACCAGTTGGAAAAGAAGCACTGGGTCCAATAAGGGTGGAGGGAGAAAGACATTACAAGGTTAAGCAAATCATAGACTCTAGAATCCATAAGGGGAAACTACAGTATCTAGTTCAGTGAAGAGGTTATTCAATAGAGGAATAAAAGCTCATAAAATTGGAGCAGAAGACTTAATAAGTAGATTCCAGCCAGAATATCCTCAAAAGCCAGGGAACCTTTACATGGATAATTGAGAGGGGGGGAAATGCCTTAATACGTGTTTGTTGTTTTCCAGGTATATTCCAATTTTTAGGAGCATCTGCATGTCAAGCCTCGAAGCACCTTTTTTCCTGCTGCAACAGATATTGCTTCTCAGCTTGCCAATGAACCCAGGAGGGAGGAAGGAATCAGATTTGAATGCAAACTTCAAAGATTAAGGAAGCAGATCATGGGAATCCAGGACATTTACCAAATGTCTGGCGAAACCCAGAGATACTTTCTCAAAACAATATTGCTGCATTTGATTGGCCCCATGATCCAGAGGGAGGAGAGAAAATACTACGCTTTCACTATGTAGGGCTTCGATGGGGTTTTCCCAGAGCTTCTTTTGCTTTCATACATGTCAAAATGATGTACTCAATAAAGTTTTACATTAAGAGATTGGAATGTCTCAAAGGTGTTTGTTTGGTTGGGATCATCAGCGCAAATATTGACACAGACCTTGGAGGACTTGAAATACCGATTCAGAAAGAATCATGAAGGAGATGAGGTTGAGAACCTCCTAACTAACTTTGAAGATACCTACCAAGCTTAAAGCAGTCCAAAGATTCATATGTGTCCTCTTTTAAAGGGCTGTTGAATCAAAACATTGGATAACCTATGTGCTTAGGAAAAGGAGGGCTAGCAACAATTTAAAAACACAAATATTAATTATTAATTTGTTTTATTATTTGATGATTATGTTGGATTTTAATTTTATTAATCTAATTCTTTATTTCATTGGATTTTAAATAACCATAATAGTCAAACAGGCAAACTAAGCATATAAACCAAGAACAATTGCAATCAATAATTAAATTTCAAGAACCCAAGAACCAATTACATTATCAGTTCCCTACTTTTATCATTAGATCATCCTTAGTATTAAGATCTGGTCTCAGGATGATAATGTAGCACTTGGGGAAGAAGATACAGCCCAAGAGTCCACCACCGGAGGCCAAGATGGAGAAAACCTGCATGGCCACCATGTATTTTCCTTTGGTGCTCAGGTAGGTGGGGAGGAAGGAGACCCAGACACTGCAGAAGACCAGCATGCTGAAGGTGATCAGCTTGGCTTCATTGAAAGCTCCAGGAAGGTTCCTGGCCAGGAAAGCCACAGTGAAGGAAATGGCAGCAAGGAAGCCCATGTAGCCAAGGACAACATAAAATATGGCGACAGAGCCTTCGTTGCATTGAAGAATAATCTCTTCAGGCTGGGAGTGCAGATCAGAGTCAGGAAATGGGGGAGAAACTCCCAGCCACATGACACAAATGAAAATTTGGATAACCGAACAAGAAAGGACGATGGAGTTGGCCAAACTCTTCCTCAACCATCTTCTCATTATGTTCCCTGGTTTTGAGGTCAGGAAGGCCAGCACCACCATGATAGTTTTGGCCAACACAGAAGACACGGCTACTGAGAAGACAATGCTGAACATTGTTTGTCGGAGAAGACAGGTGGCTTTTCTTGGTTGGCCAATGAAGAGAAAGGAGGACAAAAAGCAAAGCAGGAGGGAGATCAGGAGGATGAAGGAGAGCTGCTGGTTGTTGGCTTTGACGATGGGAGTTTCTAGGTATTGAAGGAATATGATGAAAACAAGGCCTGTGGTTAGAGACAAGAGTAGGGCAATGGAGATGAGGATGAAGCCCAGATGCTCCTCATAGGAGAGGAAGGTTATTCTTTTGGGAATACACTGGACTCGGTTCTCATTTGGATATTGAACATCCGGGCACTTGGTGCATTTTTCTGTATCTGAGAAAACAAAGTAATATTTCAAATTTCAAGAAAACCTTTGTATGAGATGTGATACTGAGAGATAGGAAAGCCTCAGTAAATTATACATACTTGCACTTACACTCCAGAAAAAAATCCCCAGTATATACAAAAAAACCCCAAGAACAACAAGAAAATAAAATTAAAAGAAAAAATATCTGGTGTCACAACTTCTGAGGTAATCCACTAGATTCTTATCTTGGACTGACATTACTTTGAGTTTGTTTTCTTTGTTAATTTTTAATTTTTTGTCAGATGATGGACATATGTTCGTTATCTGCAAACTCTTTTTAACCTATAAAAAGGAGAAGATGAAGCAATATATTTCCATATTCTCTAGATTTGGCAACAAATTTAAAGAGAGAATGAATTCAACACTGGTATCAATGGATATTTAGTAGATTGGTCTTTTATTAGTTCTCCTCCTCCCTTCTGTTCCTTTTAATCCCAACACTGTATATTAGACTTTTTTTCTTTCAGAACCATAACTATATTCCTTTATTTGTTGGTGTTATAAATGTTTGTATCTCACTATTTATCAACAAAGAAAATTGGAAAGATGAGAAAAGTTAGGAAGGAAACATCCACTTGATGATTTTATACTGAATCCTCTGTTTGGTTTTCATTTGTTCCTTGAACCCAACCTCTCTCCCTCCGTTGTTCTTCCCAATTAGATATTTCAGCTGATAAAGACTTATAATCTTGATAACAATTAACTGATTAATTGAAGGATTCATTGATGTATCTTTTGGCCTTCAATGTAAAATTGGTTTACGTGAGCAAAGAGCATTGATCTAAAATCATTCCTCAAGTTATAAAGAATACAGACGTTTCTAAGAAATCCACACTGGCAAATAAAAGAGAGATTTCCTATGCAATCTACAACATCCTTCTTTCTACCTCATCTTCAAGATATTTTTCTTATAATCCCATTTAGGGAAGAAATTGGACACCATGAAAATTGAGAACTAAACAATCAAATTTACATGTGTCTTTAACATGCATATTGATCAAAGTTTCCTTGTGCTGTCACCCACCTTCCTGAGTAGAGATGGTCCCCTCTGGACAAGGAATGCAGCCGTAGCAGCAAACTGGCTCTCCTTCTCGAGCCTGCTTGACAAATCCAGGAAGGCATTTTTCCACACATTTAGACTGAGGCAGAGACTAAACAGAAAAAGAAGAAATGCCACAGAAAATATGTTAGGACTCACCATCCATGTAAGATGGAGGTAGACATGAACATCAGCCAAGTCGTCTCTGGGCTTCATGTAGGCAAATATGAAATCTCTGACCACTTCCACATGGTTGCAGGAGATACAATTGCAGGAAGATGCTTCATTCAGTTCGTCCCTTTTTCTTCTGACATATCAGATTACAAAAAAGTAGCTTTCTACTTAACAAAGTCTGGAGGGATGAAATTGAGAAAAGATTTAAACATTAAGTGACAACCAGTAGTTCCTCCTCATAGTGGAATTAACATGCATTCCTCCATTCTTCATAAATGCTTGATTTTAAAATATCCACAAATGCTAAATTTTAGAATGAACTTTATTGTAATATTTATATCAAATTTTTATTTCATTGGATCTATTAAACTATAATAAACTGTGAGAAAGAAAGAAACTTTTGACCAGTAGGATCTGGAAAGTTTCTTCTGGAGTACATAAAACATTGCAAAATTGCTTCCCTTTGAAAGCAGTCCAAAATTATCTCTGGTTAAGATAAAAAGGGAAATTTCCTCACAAAAAAGGGCTGTCAACCTTAAAGATGCCTTTATTTGTTCAATTTATATGGCTGCCATGCCAGTGAACTAAAACTAAAACCAACTGACTAATTTCTAAAACTATAATGAGGTGAGATGGAGGTGAGGTCATGAGAACGTGTCCCTCAAAAAGGCTGAGTCAGGCATCTTTTGGTGCACCACATGGGTCATGATTGTGAGCCCTGTGTGGGAAATGGATACTCAACACAATGTATTCAACACAAGGTCCTTTCTGTTGAAAGAATACAATTAGGTGACACAATTTGACAGGGAAATACACACCCATATTTATTATTAGTTTGCTCAGCATGTCCTAGGTAGCTAACAATCAAGATAAACAGTGCATTCAAGGGATTTTCAGATGAAGGGCACTGTTACAAGCCAGTGCCCAAACCTATGCAATATTAGTTTCTCCTGCTTGAATAGGTTCTCCTGCTTAAGCAGGGGGCTGGATTAGAAGACTTCCAAGGTCCCTTACAGCTCTCTTCTCTTCTATTCTATTCCCCTTATTATTTCTGATATCAAGATTTTTTTTTTTTGCACCAAAGTCACGTTTCAGTACTTCAGTTTTCAAGTCATTATCATGATGAGATGGGTAGCAAATAAATTTAATCAATCAATTCATAAATGTGCTCACATCAGACCAGTCATTATTATTTTATGTGAATTGAAAGCCTTGGATCTCCTTCCTAAATTCCACTATCCCAGTGTGGGTTAAAGAGAGGCAGGTGTAACTGTGGACTCAGCTGATTAGAAACATCCCAGACTATGAACCTGCAATTTTGGGAGACCCTTGACTCCAACCAGGACAAAGATGAACCTTATTTCCAAATTGGACCAAGAGGACATCCATCCACTCTGGATTCCCTTTCCTCAGATTCAGTCCAAATCTGAACTCAAGGACTGGTCAACAGAATTGCCTTCATCTTTGATATTTGAAGACAAAAAACTAGTGAACCTGAAGCAATTAACACCAAAATCTCCAGCCTATGAGGCCCTGTCTCACCAGTTTTATGGTGGTACTAAACTGCCAAGGGACACTAAATGGCAATGATTTGTGTCCTAAATAATAATCACCCCATATCTCATTTTGGATCAGCTTACAACAGGGTTCAGCATGACAGCATCAGAAGGGAAACCTTGGTCAATAGAACTGAAGCTTGCTTATCTGCCTAAGAAAGTTATAGGGGTTTTACTCCACACATTCAATTCTCAGTGAAAGTTACTCACTTTTTTGATTGGGTTTAGCCCACTTGAAACAACTTTGGAAAATAGAAAATAGATCAAAATTTTCCCCACCTTGTTGAGCAACTTTAACTGTGACAAAGCATCTTGGTTGATTGTAAGTCTCTGTCTTTCAAAAATCCCCAATTGCTTGTTGATGGGATCCTCCTTGGGAAGAACCACCCTACTCAAGATCTGCTACTACGTTTTCATTCTGATCCAAGTACACTTTCAGCAGGGAAAGATTGTACAATTCCCTCTTCTTTAGAAATGGATGGAACTAGAATGGAAACATCCAGGAATTTAAAAGCTTAAATCTTGGTTCCTTATCTCTTTTTACATTTGAATCTTTCTTCTATGGTTGTTTAACTTGCAAATACTGTGATTTGGGAGAAATAGTTTTACCATTATCTTCAAAACTGAAGTACAAATATTAAGCAATATTTCTAAAGCATGTAGTATATGCAGGGCTTTTTTTCTCATAGAACGCCCAGAATGGAGTTCCGGCACCTTTTTTGGATGGAACCTTGTAGGGTAGGCAAGGCGGGTTGTATGACATGTGTGAGTTCCGGCACCTTTTTTTTTTTTTAGAAAAAAAGCACTGAGTATACTAATAAAATGTAGCAATGATCAAGAATCAAGTAAACAAAATACACAAATAACTACAGTATGCATAAACTCTTTGCAAACAATAGGGTGATTACTAGAAAGCAAGGATTTGTTAAGAAGGAAGTTGCAAGGCTAATCTTCATTCAGGTAGAGGAGATAGGAAAAATGACCAGATGAAGTAATTCTACTTTATTGTAAAGCTATATTAACAAAATCTTGCAATGTGAAAGTATAAATCTTTCACTATCTCTTTTGACAGTCATGTATCACCTATTTCTTCTTTCCTTTAGACTGGTCAAACCCAACTTCCGCAGCTGTTCTTCATACATTTTGGTCTCCAAGCCTTTGATAATCTTAGTTGCTCTTCTCTGAATTTTTTCAAGACTCTCAACATCTTTTTTGTGGTATGGTGACCAAAATTGGCTGCAGTATTCGAGGTGTGGTCTTATTAGGGCTTTATAAAGTGATACTAGTACTTTGCATGATCTTGAATCTATGCCTCTGTTTATACAACCCAGGATTGTATCAGCTTTTTTGGTTGGTGCTGCACACTGCTGGCTCATAATTAAGTGATCATCCACCAAGGTCCCTCTCACAGTTGCTGTTCCCAAGTCAGGTCTTGCCCAATCTGTATTTGTGTCAACGCTGCTAATATTGAATATTCTTGCTTTGACAAAATATGCAGATGAGAATAGGAGTGGAGAGAAAAGCATGCGGAAGGGAACGGAAGTGAATCTTTGCCCTCCAAGTTAATTGGAAGATGTGAATCATGACGCCAAAATAGGGGAGGGGAAATGCCTGGAATGTCATGTGCAAAGGACGGGAAATTCAGATCTTAGCATTCCTCCATGCCGTGCTGACACTCCTTTACACTAATAAAGGCTTTTTAGGTTAAACAATGCCTGAAAGTTCTTTGAAGTGTTTCATTAGTCAGACACATGACAATTTGTTCCTTTGGTTTTTCCTGCCTAAAGGTAAGACTTTGCTTTTCTCCACATTGAAACTCATTGTGTTGGATAGAGCCCATAGTCAAGTTTGTCAAGATCTTTTTGGAGCCTGAGTTTGTCTTCTGGGATGTTGGCTACTCCTGACAGTTTGGTGTCATCTGAGAATTTGATGAGTTCCCCTTCAATTCCCTCATCTAAATTGTTTATAAAGGTATTAAAGAGTACTGGGCCTAAGACAGAACCTTGTGATACCCCACTGCTTACTTCTCTCCATGTGGATGTAGTGCCATTTAGGACTACTCGTTTTGTACGGTTTGTCAGCCAGCTACAGATCCATCTGGTGGTGATGTTGTCTATTCCACCTTTTTTTAGCTTTCCAAGGAGTAGTTGTGTTCTATTTTGTCAAATGCCTTACTGAAATCTAGGTATACTATGTCCACTGCATTTCACTGGTCTACTAGTTTAGTCACTTTATCAAAGAATGAGATCAGATTGGTCTGGCATAATCTGTTTTTAACAAACCATGCTGGCTGCTAGTTATCACTTTGTTTGCTTCTAGTTGTTCGCAGATCTATTTTTTGATTATCTTTTCTAGGATCTTCCCAGGTATTGATATTAAACTGATTGATCTGTAGTTTCCTGGGTCCATTTTTTCCCCTTTCTTGAAGACAGGGACCACATCCTTTCTTTTTTTTCCTTTTTTTTTAGGGGGGCTGAAGTCTAGGGTGCTTTTCTGTTTGTTTCAAGTGTGGTTGTTGGTGTGGCTTTTTTAGGAATATTTGAGGTGACTTTTTAAGGATTATTTTGTTCCTTTGCTAGGTGTCTGCATGTCTTCTTTGAGGGGGAGGTTGTGGGTCTGCGTGTTTCCTTCTAAGGGGAAAATTTGATTGCTCAGTTTTAATGGGGTTGTTTATGGTTGGGTAGGATTGGGCAGAAGAGGTTTGTTTGTTGCATGTTGTTTCTTTCTTTGAGTGTTATATTTCCTTTTCTGTGTGACATACCTCCATTTGTCTTCCTCCAAGGGTTTAGCGGTAGGGTTATTTGTTCATTGTTTGGTGCGATTTGGGTGGCACTTTCTTTTGTGCATTTGGGTTTGGCTAGTGTTGTGTTCTGGGGCTGATGGGGCAGCTCAGCAGGCCCAGAAATGTTGCAAAAGGTCCTGGGCAACCCAAAAGCTGCCCGGGACCAGACTGGTTGGCACCGGCCTTGCGTGTATGCACAAGGCATGAATAAAGGAGATGTATGATAGGTTGTTTGGAAGACTATAAAAGGCCTGCAAGCCTGTTGGGTTACTGAGTGGTAACGTGGATCAAATAAAGAAGAACTTGGTTACAATGTGAGTGTGTGTCGCTTCAATGCCGCAAACCCCAAGATGTAAAAGCTAGAGTTGCTTCTAAGTTCCTAAACTTTTCCTGTAGTAGTTCACATAATTTGCATCTGATGCATGTGTAGTTTGGGTTTTTTGGGGCATCAGTGCATACATGGAACATGTATTGCATATCACAATAGTTTCAGTCACCTGCTACATAAATTTGTTGTTTGGTAGTTGCTCTTTTTGGTTAGTGGTTGTGTTTTGCTGTTAGCTTTGTTTCTAGCTTCTCTGTTCTGTCCTTTTTTCTCCCTGTTTGTGCTACCTTATTATTTATTTAACCTTCTTACTATTGTGTTAGTTTTATTTATCCTTATTCTCCCCTCTATTTTTTTTAACTTTTTGACCTCCAAATCATTTTTGTTCTTTACTGGGGGTCTTCCCTCCCTTCCTATTGGGACCTCAATATTAATTGTTGCCTTCACTTATGTTGCTCAGTCCTCTGGCCTCCTGTTGTTTTATCCCTTCTGTCTTTGGAGCTAGTCTCTGCTCTGGTCAGGCCTCCGTTCAGCTTTCCAGTCACCTCAGCTGCTCTGCCTGCTCTGCTCTTCTCAGCCGGCCACTCAGCGTGAGGAATCAGAGAGGTCTCTGGCTCTCGAAGTCTCTCTGTTGTGAAGCTTAAGATCTTAAACCACCAAGCCCAGAGAGCACAAAAGACCCTGAAAAGGAATTTAGTTTGATGGATCCGTGTTGGGACCCCCTACCTTCCATAGTTGCAGCCTTGGAGCCCCCAACCTCTCTTCACCCTTCTTCCTTCTCCTCTGGGGTTGGGATGCAGCACTTAAGGCGTGGGCCAGAATCTTTATGACACTGTAAGTAATGAAAGGATTTGCGATCTGCATCCTATTCGTTTTCTCTTGGGACTCCACTGGTGCTTTCTGGGTGCATCTTCTCCGGCCTTTGACAGAAAAGGTGTGTTTTGAAACAGAACAGTGAAAATACTCAGCTTGAAATTCAGGTTCCACAAAGAAATCTCTTTTAAAGGCATTATCATATTTCCAACTCTCTTTCCACTGACAGGGAAAACTCCAAATACTGTGGACGTGCTTGAGACACCAATCTTTTTTAATTGAAAATACTGCAGCCACGGTCATGATCCAGACTTTCCCTTCAATGGGTCCTGGCAAACTTTCAAGTGCTGAATGGATGGGAAGAATACTGTCCAAAAGGGAATCAAATTCTATGAAGTTAACAAAGACGTTGACTTGTCTCCACTTAGAGAGGGCGTCCCTGAGGAATGGGGTATGTCCAGTCATTGAGAATTGTTGTGAAATAGCAACACAAATTCTATTCTTGACAAGCATAGGATTAAAATTTCTCATGAAATTTTCTCCCTACTCTGTGTCTGTTGCAAAGAGACCAATCAGGGTCCATCCAAAATGGAGGAGAATTTGGACAATTCCTGGATACTGGATCCCTTCTTTGGGGAGCATCGGATGGAAAAAAGGGAATTGACTTTTATCACTCAGAGCCTCTGAAGCAATTCTCATACTGACCTGAAAAAACAATGAAGAATTCTGTGTTATATTTGGGGTTCTACCTAGTCACAATTTTTAGCTTTTAATGAATACAACTTTTTTCTCATGCACATATTAGAACATTTCCTGTTGATTAGTCATTAGGCCATATCAACATACACCATATAAAACAAAGAATATTAACAAGGCTGCATGTAAAAACAGAATTTAGAAAAATAAATACAATATAATAAGCGTAAAGAATGAAAATAGTATTTCTTTATAACCCCAGAATTCACCACAATCAGAGCATAATTTCCTTCTGAAAAGAGTTTTATTATTGATCTCCCTCTTTCTTAAGTAATTGTCATTCAAAATAATAGATGTATTACATCCAGTTGGTTTTTCTCGAGTTGCAAAAAAGACAGGGAGATGAAAGTTCCTAATATAAAATCAAGAATGTTTTAAATGAAATTTAAAATTTAGAAAAATAAGTACTATAGTAGTAGTAGTAATAGTAGTAGTTTCCATACCATTTATTTTATTAAAAATAATTGTTGTTGTTATGTTGTTAATTGCGAAGTCATGTCTGACCCGTCGCGACCCCATGGACAATGTTCCTCCAGGTCTTCCTGTCCTCTACCATCTTCTGGAGTCCATTTAAATTCACACCTACTGCTTCAGTGACTCCATCCAGCCATCTCATTCTCTGTCGTCCCCTTCTTCTATTGCCCTCAATCTTTCCCAGCATTAGGCTCTTCTCCAGTGAATCCTTCCTTCGCATTAGGTGGCCAAAGTACTTGAGTTTCAACTTCAGGATCTGGCCTTCTAAAGAGCAGTCGGGGTTGATCTCTTCTAGGACTGACCGGTTTGAACGCCTTGCAGTCCAAGGGACTCGCAGGAGTCTTCTCCAGCACCCTAGTTCAAAGGCCTCAATTCTTTGGCGCTCAGCCTTTCTTATGGTCCAACTTTCACAGCCATACATTGCAACTGGGAAAACCATGGCCTGGACTATACGCACTTTTGTTGGCAGGGTGATGTCTCTGCTTTTTAGTACGCTTTCTAGATTTGCCATAGCTTTCCTTCCCAGGAGCAAGCGTCTTTTAATTTTTTGGCTGCAGTCCCCATCTGAGGTGATCTTGGAGCCCAGAAAAATAAAATCTGTCACTACCTCCATTTCTTCCCCATCTATTTGCCAGGAATTGAGAGGGCCGGATGCCATGATTTTGGTTTTCTTAATGTTGAGTTTCAAGCCAACTTTTGCACTCTCCGTCTTCACCCGCATCAAGAGGCTCTTTAGTTCCTCTTCACTTTCTGCCATTAGAGTGGTATCATCTGCATATCTTAGGTTGTTGATATTTCTCCCGGCAATCTTAATTCCAACTTTTGATTCATCTAGCCCTGCCTTTCTCATGATGTGCTCTGCATATAAGTTAAATAAGCAGGGCGACAGTATACAGCCTTGCCGGACTCCTTTTCCAATTTTGAACCAATCAGTGGTTCCGTGTTCGGTTCTCACTGTTTCTTCTTGACCCGCATATAGGTTTCTCAAGAGACAAATGAGATGGTCTGGTACTCCCATCTCTTTAAGAACTTGCCACAATTTGTTGTGATCCACACAATCAAAGGTTTTAGCATAGTCAATGAAGCAGAAGTAGATGTTTTTCTGGAACTCCCTAGCTTTCTCCATGATCCAGCGTATGTTGGCAATTTGATCTCTAGTTCCTCTGCCTCTTCAAAATCCTGCCTGTACTTCTGGTAGTTCTCCATCTACATACTGCTGGAGTCTAGCTTGTAGGATTTTAAGCATAACTTTACTAGCATGTGAAATGAGAGCAATGGTGCGATAGTTTGAACATTCTTTGGCATTGCCTTTCTTTGGAATTGGAATGTAAACTGACCTTTTCCAATCCTGTGGCCACCGTTGAGTTTTCCAAATTTGCTGGCAAATTGAGTGTAGCACTTTTACTGCATCGTCTTTTAAGATTTTGAATAGCTCAGCTGGAATCCTGTCACCTCCACTAGCTTTGTTGTTGCTCAGATTTTCTAAGGCCCATTTCACTTCCCAGTCTAGGATGTCTGGTTCGAGGTCAGTGACCATCTCAATGTGGTTATCTGGGACGTTAAGCTCATTCTTGTATAGTTCTTCTGTGTAGTTTTGCCATCTCTTCTTAATCTCTTCTGCCTCTGTTAGGTCTCTGCCATTTTGGTCCTTTATCATGCCCATCTTTGCATGAAACGTTCCCTTCATAGCTCCAATTTTCTTGAAGAGATCTCTGGTCCTCCCTATTCTGTTGTTTTCTTCTATTTCTTTGCACTGTTCATTTAAGAAGGCATTCTTATCTCTTCTAGCTACTCTCTGGAATTCTGCATTCAATTGGTGTATCTTTCTCTTTCTCCTTTGCCTTTCGCTTCCCTTCTTTCCTCAGCTATTTGCAAAGCTTCCTCAGACAGCCATTTTGCTTTCTTGCATTTCTTTTTCTTTGGGATGGTTTTAGTTGCTACCTCTTGTACAATTTTGCGAACTTCCATCCATAGTTCTTCAGGCACTCTGTCTATCAGATCTAATTCCTTAAATCTATTTGTTACCTCTACTGTATATTCATCAGGAATATGATTTAGTTCATACCTGAGTGGCCTAGTGCTTTTCCCTACTTTTTTCAATTTAAGCCTAAATTTTGCAACGAGAAGCTCATGATCTGAGCCACAGTCAGCTCCTGTTCTTGTTTTTACTGACTGTATAGAGCTTCTCCATCTTTGGCTGCAGAGCACATAGTCAATCTGATTTCTATGTTGACTGTCTGGTGATGTCCATGTGTAGAGCCGTCTCTTGGGTTGTTGGAAAAGAGTGTTTGTTATGACCATCCTATTCTCTTGACAAAATTCTATCAGCCTGTGCCCTGCTTCATTTTGTACTCCAAGGCCAAACTTGCCTGTTATTCCGGTTATCTTTTGGCTTCCTACCTTAGCATTCCAATCCCACATGATGATAAGGACATCATTTTTGGGTGTTAATTCTATAAGGTGCTGTAGGGCTTCATAGAACCGGTCAATTTCATCCTCTTCAGCACCAGTGGTTTGGGCATAGATTTGGATTATTGTGATATTGAATGGTTTGCCTTGGATTCGAATTGAGATCATTCTGTCATTTTGGGGATTGTATCCCAGTATTGCTTTTCCTATTCTTTTATTGACTATGAAGGCTACTCCATTTCTTCTGAGGGATTCTTGCCCACAGTAGTATACCTGATGGTCATCTGAGTTAAATTCACCCATTCCTGTCCATTTTAGTTGTCTGATTCCTAAGATGTCGATGTTCGTTCTTGTCATCTCTTTTTTGACTATGTCTAGCTTGCCTTGATTCATGGATCTTACATTCCAGGTTCCTATGGAGAAAAGATCTTTACAGCATCAGACTTTCCTTTCACCACCAGATATATCCACAGCTGAGCGTCCTTTCGGCTTTGGCCCAGTCGCTTCATTCTTTCTGGTGCTACTAGTACTAGCCCTCTGCTCTTCCCCAGTAGCATATTGGACACCTTCTGACCTGAGGGGCTCATCTTCCAGCGTCATATCTTTTTTCCTTTTAGTACTGTCCATTGGGTTTTCATGGCAAAGATACTGGAGTGGTTTGCCATTTCCTTCTCCAGTGGATCACATTTTGTCAGAACTCTCTGCTGTGACCTGTCCGTCTTGGGTGGCCCTGCACAGCGTAGCTTATAGCTTCATTGAGTTACACAAGCCCCTTCGCCACGACAAAGCAGTAATCCATAAAGGGGTCTCTTGATGTATTCACCTCTAATCTTTTTCTTGACTTCAGTGTGCTAGATGTTGTCAGCTTGAAGGATACCCATGTATTTGTAGTAATCTTCGTCATCCAGACTCTTAATGTTATTTTCGTGGGGCATCTTGATTCCTTTAGTTTTCACTACTTTTCCTTGTTTGATAGTAAGTGTGGGACATTTGTCCAAGCCAAACTCCATTACAATATCTTGGCTATATATACGGACAGTGTTGAGCAGCGATTCTATTTCAGATGATGTTTTTCCATACAGCTTCAGTTCATCCATGTAAAGGAGATGGGATAGTCTGGCAGATGTTTTTGATGTTTGATAGCCATGTCCTGAGTTATTCAGTATTGTTGACAGAGGAAAAAGTGCAATAACAAATAGTAATGGTGATAATGAATCTCCTTGAAAGATTCCTCTCTTGATATTAACCTCTCCCAGTCTCTCACCATTGATCTGCAACTGTGTCTTCCATTGTGCCATCGATCTTTGCACAAATTTTCTGATGTTTCTACTGACTCCTGTTATTTCTAGGCACTTTATTATCCAATCATGTGGCAGAGAGTCAAATGCCTTTTTGTAGTCCATCCATGCCACATTCAGGTTGGTCTTCCTTCTCTTGCAGTTTTCCAAGATCATTTTGTCTATTAGGAGTTGATCTTTTGTTCCTCTGCTATTGGAGCAGTTTCCTTTCTGTTCAGGTGGAAAGAGATTATTTTCAACTACATGCTGTTGCACTGCATCAGCTACTACACCAGTTAGTAATTTGAAAGTTGTTGGTAAGCAGGTAATTGGCCTGTAGTTACCTGGTGTTGCCCCTTTTGCTGGATTTTTCATTATTCGGTAGGTTTTCCCAGTTGTTAGCCACTTTTCAATTTCTCCACCTTGTAGTATATTGTTGAACTGCTTGGCAATGAGTGGGTGTATAACAGTTAGATGTTTCAACCAAAACCCATGCAGTTCATCTTCACGTGGTGCTGACCAATTTTTGATTTTCCTTGCTCTGTTTTCTGCCATTTTTGTTGTTATTACTAGTTCTTTCATTTCAACTTCTGTTTTATTTGTATTCACCTCTTTTAACCAAGCCACATCCTTGTTGTATTTCTTTGGGTTATCCCATATCTGCTTCCAGAACTGCACTGTTTCTTCCTTGTCAGGTACTGACTGATCACTTGCAGTTTCTCCATTGATGGATTGGTAGAAACGTTTCTGATTGGATTGAAATTGGAGGTTCTGCCTATAGTTTGCAAT